AAAAAAAGAGCAATTTGGATATTTTACCTTCAAATTCCTAATTTTTCCTTCTAGATTTTGCATTAGTTGAGCTATGTAATCTAAGGATCTGTTATAGTTTCTGTAATAGCTTTGTCTATTCAATTTGTCTTTTCTATTAGTTCTTGCTTTGCTTTGAAAGCTATTTTCTTTAATGAATTTGAACTCTTCATTCTCACTATTATCTAATGAGGTTTGAGCATTCTTCTAATCTAGTTATCTACTAAGCCAAATTAGTATTACTATTTATATAATAAACTTACTAATATCTACTTAATCTGCATTCTTTGTACAGACTTCTTTTTTAGATCAAGCATCAACTAGCATAACTATAAAAATTTGTACTACTTTACTTAACTCAGAATTTCTACTATACAGGTCTCTTATACTTATATATTCTACAGGAAGGTGATAAAAATATTTCTATACCTAAAAACTTAGTTTATAACTCAAAAACTTACAAATTAACTTATGTTCTTAATTTGATTATATTAATTTACATTCCTTGATAATTATGCTATACTATTTTTAGATTATATACTTGCATAATTAATAAGTTATTTAATTTTACTTTTAAAGTTTTAATAAATTTGGTAAGTGTTTGTATTTCTATATAAATATTTCAATAACTATTAGTCTAATTTTAATAAAAATTTTTTTATTTTATAGAAAAAGTTATTCTTTATCTATTGTATAAATTTTATATAATTTTAAGGAGTTTGCTAATTTACACCACAGGTAATTATCACCTATAATAAAATTATCTCAAAATTTTGCTTATGAAACAACTTTTGAGGCTCTAAGTAAAAAAATTCCTTGTGAAATTTTACTATAGACCTTGCTAAACTCTAACACTAATACGAGCTCTGGCCCTAACCCTAAAGTCAAAGAAAAAATATTTTTCTTTGTTTATTTTGTATAGCTATATTACACAACATTATAATAATAATTATAAGTAATTATCACCTGAGGTAAAAATTAGTTAATTTTATTTTTAAATTCTAAAAAAATTTTATAATTACTAACTTTTTTTTTTTTTTTTTTGTTATTAAGATAACTTATATTGCTGAAAGAATTTTATTAGAATTGTCAATAGGATTTTACATTAATAATCCTTACTGTTTGTAATTACATGAAGAGTATATAACAAGCTATATGTACAACTTTAGTTATTGTCTATTTTAAGTAGTCCACTACATAGGCATTAGACTACCTGATTAGTTCTACACTATATTGCTATATCTGTAACCTGCCTATGAATTATCTATTTAAATACTCTGTTTATTAAGGGGCATGCCATTTATCACATAATATTTTTTATTTAAGAACCCCACCTATCCATGTATAGTATGATCACAGTACTCAAGTATCGAAAAAATCAGTCTAAATTTAGGTCCGAAACCAATAAAATTGCAGTATTTAATTTTACAAAAAAATTACAAAATCATATTAAAATCAAACTACTAAGTAAAAATACATGAATAAAAACTAAGAACTAGTATAGTAAAAAAACCAAATATTTCCATGCTCTAATCAAGACAGCTAAAACTACTACTAAAATCAGATGATTATATTTAGTAGTTTGTAGTTGATTAGTTTGTATGATGAGAGATGCTAGTGAAATTAATTTCACTAATTCAACATCAATTTCTCTAGCATCTTTAATAATCACTTCAGTCTTAACTTTTTCAATATCCATTCATCCAATTTATGAGTCACTAATAATATTATGAAATAGGTAAAATAGAGCTGTATAAAAACATGATATGCTCTGGACTTACAATTGACAAAACTAAGTATATATTTCGTATCTGAAGTTGCTACTCCAGGCATCTAAATTAATAATTCTAGATAAGAGGCAACTTTATGCATGACATGTGAGCACTGATAAATAAAAATATATTTCTCGATTTTAGAATACTTAAAAAACATGAATGATTTTATGTGTACAATTGCCTTTATTATTGCCTTTTATATCTTTTATATTACACTAGTCCAAATGATAAAATCAGTACAAGTTCATTCTATTGAAGATGAAGTAATTTGCTATCAAATATGCTGAATGCCTACTGGTTACTGATGATATTCTGTAAACAATCAGCATATATAATTGGCCTTCAGCTAGCATTCAGAAAGCATACTAGCTAAATGCTAATAGAATGCTATCAATAACTAGTAGGCATTCAGTATATTCAGTAACCAATTACTCTACCTTAAATTATAATGAACTTGTACTGATTTTATTATTTAGATTAGTATTATCAGTCCTAAAGATAATATAATAGCAGCATTAATCAATTTAACTAAATATTATATAAACATAAGTCATGGAAAAAACATTTCTTAACTATATGAGATTGGAACAGATAAATCCTATAAGGTTAAATACTTGCAAATTAAGAGTTACATAACTAGAATGGGTATTCAGTAATTCAGATCTGAATACATAATACATATTAAATATTCGAATAAGCTATTCCAGATATGTTATTAAAAACAATGAATATTTGAATCTAAACTCTATGCATCTTATTTGACACTTCTAGAAATATGCTACGCCATGAAATATAGTATCATCTACAAAGTGAATCAGAGTGCTAAAGTGCTAGCCACATTCTTGCCTTCTTGCAAGCCAAAAAAGATTGGAAACACTGTAGTTAATATTGTCCAAGCCAACAATGTTGACATTTTTGGTTATGAAAATAGATAATAATAATAGTATAAATGCCTGAAAAATGAAGCAACTCTAATGGGCAACTAAAAAGTTCGACTACATGACTAAAAATATGCAATGGAATTCATGTACGTATATGTACAGTATGTACATATTAGGGTTCTGCAAGTATCAGACACAAGCACTATTAAAACTTAGTGCTAGGTACAGGCCTGGATACTATTTTTAATAGTATGTACTCAGCACTTGCAGAACTCTAGTAAATACAAGTCTTTGCAGTAAAAAGGGTAAAAACTTTAATTTTATTTGGAAATATTTAAACAGATCAATAATTTGCTATGTAAAATATCACATGTTAATAGTAGAAGACTTCCACTATCTCAATGCAATTTTTTACTCTGTGAATTGTTGATCAGTTTATATGTAATTAACCTTTCAAATTCAATTATTTCAAGTTAATATAGTTTCTGCTATTTTTACTACAAAGGCCCTATATATATACTTATTTATTATTATTGTACTTAGTGCCATCTTTTATTCATATGATTGAACCTTTATTGATAGCCTGAATAAGGTTAGAAGAAGTGATAATAATACTTATCATGGAATAACGCATAGTAATGATGAAAAAATATATTAGCATAAGATCCTAAAATATAATCTTCGTTTCCTCTATAATTTTTGTAATTTATTTTAGTATGAAGAAATAGTTTATTAAATATATTGTATGTCTTTAGATTCGAATTTTCACAAGTTTCTGAAATGCATAAATATTAGATATATCTTCCTTCATTAAGAAGCTGCACCATATAAATGAAAAAATTTAAAACTTATGTAGAAGGGATTTTTGATATCAATTTTTTTTTATAAAAATATGCAAAGCTTTTTAAAAACTCCTAATTTTGATACTCACTTTTTTTATAAATCACCTTCTGATTTGTATCAAGAATTCTCTAATACCTATGCTTATTATAAGCAAGCAATTCATTGCAACCCAACACCTAATAAACAAAAATTACTAATTGAGACCTGTGCAGCATGGAAAAAAATAAGAAATGAAAATAAAACTTTTATTCGTAAAAAGATTCAATTATATTTAACTATAGTGCCTCATACAATTCGTTCGTATAATAGCCTTATCAACTCCAATAGTACTTCTATATCTGTATTAGTTAGAACTTCAGAACAGCTATCTAATAATATAAGTATTACTGCAAAAAATGCAGTTAGGCAAAATGATGCAATAACAAAAATTAAAGAAGCAACACAACAAATATCTGAATATGAACAAGTATTTAGACTTATAAATGATCAAGAGTTAAAACAAGCAATAACAGCCAAAATTAAGAAAAACTAATTGATTATCAAAGTAAGCGAAAAAAGACTAGGAAAACTCAAACGTCATGCAGAAGCTCAAGAAAAACTTAGGAAAAAAAAACAAAAACAACTTGATGAAGAAGGCATTATTGAACAGTATGACAAATCTGGTCAGCCACTAGCAGCAATATTAGACTCGGATATTTGGGACAAGATCCATGATTGTGTTGAATTCAGATCTGCTCATGCTAAAAGGCAAAAAACAATAATTAAAGTCCGTACTATTAAACATCTACGTGAAGCATTAGAAGAAAAATATAATATTTACTTTTCATACCAGTGTTTATCAACATATTTAGAACCTTGACACAAACATACCTTTGCAGCTCACCGTCATCATTATCCCGCAAAAGTCAGTTTGGCATCTGTATCAAGAACTGATATGAAACAGCATATTGACGAACATTACTGCTTGGCATCCATTAAGGTAGCTCAAATTTTTGCTGAGGTATTTGCAAGTGATACTGTTGTCATCTCTCAAGATGACAAAGCAAAGATTAGTTTAGGTATTCCTGCAGTAGGCCGCATGTTTAAGACTATTCAATCAGTAAATGAACCTGTTACAACTGAAGATCACGATTTTCCAAAAGGAAATAAAATGAAACTTGTACTCTTAATATATCTTCTTATTGATCCTACTAACTCAAATACTACTCTTCGCACTGGGAAACTCGCTATCTTTATTAAGCCTGAATATTTTATAAGCACATCATCATTAACGCATATAACTGACTTATTAAACCTTGTTAACAACCAGGAATTTGTCTCTGTTCTATTCAATGAAAATGAAATTAGACCTATCTGAGTTCTTCTTGTCAATAGGAAGCCTGATGAGAATCCAAAGCATTTTAAAAACATTATTGAATATTGCAACTTATTCCAAACTCTTGATCTTGATTATTTAATTGTTCGAACACATGCACCATATCAAAGTGCTTACAATTCTGTAGAATGCAGTATGGCATCTCTCTTAGGAAAGCTTGCTGGAATTACTCTTCCTGTTGATGAATATGGTGTACATTTAGATTCCAAAGGAAATGTTCTAAATAAAGAGTTAGCACGATATAACTTCAAATTTTTAGGAAAAAAATTATGTGATATTTGGAGTAGAGATAACATATATGATAAACCTGTAACAGTACAATATGTAGATAAAAGTAGCCAACCATTTGATAATATTAAATCTACAACATAGACATGGATTGAGAATCATGCTCAGTTATACTGATATTCATTAGACCTAAAAAAATGTAAGAATCATCTGTGTTGTTGTGAATATAGAGCTCTTAATACAGCTCTTTTGTTAGACCAAAACAATGGATTTCTCCCCCCAATTACTAAAGGCAAGAATTGCCATTTTATCAATCCAATATATGCCCTCCAATATTTTGATAAACTAAAGATTCTACTATATGATCGTTCATGCCTATTAATTTCAAATGAAATGTATTAGCGTTTTTGTTGTAATAAATATGGTAAGTATTAACCTACCTTGAAGTTTATTGTAAATCACAAACATCAACAACATCCAGTCAAATGTAGCTGACCTCGAAAACGAGTTAATAAGCCTATACCAGTAACTAACTTGTTAAACTTCCAAGTTGCTGAAGATATTGTTAATTGTAACTATACTTGGCAAGAAGAAGAGGTTTTAAACCTTCGTAAAATACAATCTGATATCGAATAGTATTAAAATAGAATTAAAAAATATTTTATTTAATCAGTTTTAGTATAGTTTTTATAAATATTTTTAACAAAAAGTTGGTATAGAGCTTGGATTTGTTATCCGTTTTTCTTATTAAATTTAAACTTTCAATGAATAACAGATTCAAATTCTAGGTTAATTAAAGATTATACATAATCTCTATTATTATAAAGTTTTTATTTAGATATTAAATATGCAAGGTACACTTTGTATAAGATCTTTCTTTAGCTAAACATTCTTAGTTTTTTTCTTTAACTAATAAAAACTTGACTACATATAACAGATAATGTGAACAGTACAGCATAGTAAAAGTTTGTTTTAATTAGTTATCTAATAGAGTTTTTTAATTCCGAAATATACAAAAAAAAAACTTTTCATAATCAAAGCTATCTAAAATTTTATATGATTATATTTTAAAAACATATTTTTTATATACGTCTTTTCTTTAGGATCGCGTGGGATCACGTATTCCACTGACTTTTAATAGAGACAATTTGGACAATGTCAGTAGATAATACAAAGCTATTACATTAAATTTCTAACATTTTGAACTAAAATAACTAATAGAAAATGATATTTCTTTAAAGTAAAGTTTCAAATTTCACGTGAACAAGTTATTGTGTACGAGATAAAGATTATTGAGTATAATATGTGTAACTGAAGTAACGATTTTTTAATTTTAAATTTAGCCAATCAGAATTTTTGATGATCAACTAATCAAAACAGTACATATATATATATATAGTACGTGATCACTAGCTAACCCTATGTATCTATAGTAAAAATCAGGTGATAAATGGCATACCCCTAACCTATACAGATTCAATCTAATATCACTGCAACACCTAACTACTTAAGCTAGCTAGCTCATTACAGATCTATTTATTCAGAATGGCTAGATCCTCTCAGAATATATTATACTAGATATATTGCTAGTATTGTAGAGCCAGTTAAGCTCAAAGCAAACCTACTAGAGCAGTCCATATCTATTTTATGAATTTACCTAGTTTAGATCCTTGTAGATATTTATACAACCCTAGATTCTACTGTAGTCCTCCACTAGTTAGTCAACCTAGTCTTTTTCCAGTATCTAGCCAGTTCTAGTTACCCTTCACCCAGAGACTTCAAAACCTTCTACCTTTATTAGACTGAGTTTTCTTCTCAAATCAGACTTTAGCTGATGTAGTCCTGTCAGAAGGCTATACTACCTCAATAACTCAGGATTTCTACTATGCAGGTCCTCTGCTCGTATATTCTATCAAGATTTATTTATATAATTACTAACTTTTTTATATATAAGTATTATTAATTTTACTATATAAAATTACTAATTTTTTATATAGTAAACT